CATCACTCGTCGAGTACAAATGATATCTCGACATATCAAATTCCCACCGACAAAGAAAAAGAGGCTGACCCAGAGCAAGATTCCATCGAGAGACAGCTTTTCACCGGTATATCTACATTGATACACAATAAGATTGATGAGAAGAGAAAAGAAGAGAAGTAAAAAGAAGAGAAGAGGAAAAAAGAGTCAGCTGCCTGCCAACCATCCGAAAAGTGCACGTGAAAAACGTTGGGACTCACGAGGTCACTTTCATTACAATGAAGTCATGATATGCTAGTTTTGTATCCAGCTAGATTCATCAATAAAACCTCTTAAATGTCTCACATCGACTGAAGTGCCGTGGTCGAACGAAATTTCGCTCATGAAATGCCGGAAAACATAGAGAGTCTCACCTCCAGCCTCGTTGCCGATGACGATAGTTCCGCCTGGAATTTCGAAGCGGAGAATATATAGGAAACGAGGGCATATTAGCGTACCACTTGCTTTCAAGATGACCAATCGAAATAAGTTTCTCCATTTTGGGATTGGTTCCAGCGAAGCAGAGAGATAGGCTGGAGAGAAGCGATGCTCCGAAGTCTATGTAGTAATGATGAAAGCCTGAAGAAGACTTCGATCATAAGAATGCATTCCTCGTGAAAAGTCTAGACGAGTCACACGTGCTGTGTTTTTTAAAGATCCTCGAAGTACTCTCTGATCGATCATGTAAAGCCTCGCAAGTGCGATGATGAAGTCTATTGTTATCATGAACTCAAGTGTGTATTAGATATTCATATCAGAGCCTCTAGGCATTTCCAGTGATGATAGCAGCCGCCTGCTCCGACATGGCATATAACGGAGCCATGAGATGGGCAGCCATGGGGACAGGCAAAACTGAGGCATCCACCACACGTAGGCCCTTCACACCTCTCACCTTGAACTCGGAGTCAACGACCTTGCCCATGGAGCACGTGCCATGAGGATGCCACGTCGTGACACCTCCCGCTGCCAGACGAGAGTTGAGATAATCGTCAGTGTCATCAAGCGACACAGGCTCAAAAGCATCTGGCGCAGTCTCACCGGCGATGAAGTCCTTGCCAAAAGTGGTGTTCAGCATCAGCGTGGTCATTTGACGTATGCCCTCGCGGTAGACGTAGCGGTCGACCTCGGTTTCAAGGTAGTTGAGGTTGATGATTGGTCCGGTCGCGGGGTTGGAGGATTCGAGACCGACGGTGCCGTGGGAGGTGGGTAGAAAAGAGACTACATTGGTGTAGATGTGCGATCCATCCAAAGGAACGGTAGGGTTCGAGGCACTGTAGGCCTGGTAAATGATAAAGTTCTCAAGGAAACTTCGGCCTGTCTTAAGAAGCGAGTGAGTCGCGGCGTCTGGTGCAGCACCCTCGTCTTCGGCGATGGCAGCGGCAAGGCCTGTCTTGTCGACATCAGTGGACACAACCCAGTCAATCGGGTAGCCGGTAGCGAACTCGGGCTGTGAGAACAGTGGGTTGTTGGAGCCAAGCGCGAGACCTTTCTCGGGGTTCTTGAGCTTCCAGAACTGATAGAATGACATGTGATCCATGAGATTCTTTCCAACTTCGGGGAGGTCGAGCCTGACTGAGATGTTGTGCTTCTGCAGCTCTTCAGCGTCGCCGATACCAGAGAGCATGAGCAGCTGGGGAGATCGGTATGCTCCGGCCGCCGAGATTACGTTCTTGGAGGAAATCTGGGTACCATTGGCGAGCTGAACGCCGGTTGCCCTCAGCTCCCCGTTGCTGCAATTCTTGGCAAGGATAATCTTCTCAACCAGAGTGTCGGTTAACACCGTGATGCCATCGAGGGGGTAGATAACTGGTGTGAGTTCACGAAGACCGTTACGTCTGGTCTCGGTGAGCTCGGCGCGACCAAGGTTATCGCCGGCGTTGCTGTCGAGGTTGGGCAAACCCGTAACTCCGAGTTCTTGCCAAGCCCCCGCAACATCGTCGCGGAGGGGGTATGATCGGCCTGTGGATGTGACGGAAGCAACGTGGAGAGGACCCCCATTGCCGTGCTGAGCGGTACTGTTGGTGCTGAACCAATCCTCGGCCTTCTTCATCCAGGGTAGTTGGCTATCATAGCTCCATCGCGAGTCGCCTACGATTTCAGCCCACTCATCATAATCCACCTTGGGGCCACGAGTATAACCACCTGGGTACTATTAGTATTTCGAGTCAGTCTCGAGAAAGTTCAATGGCTGCTTACAAGAGTTGATCGCGGCGCCACCTCCCAAGCCTTTGCCCTGGTTGTAGACAAGACTGCGGTCATTAAGCGCGGAGACAGGTTTAGTCGGATACTGCCAGTCGAGCTCGCCACCCATGAGGTTCGTAGCGTTGGTGTAAAGAATGTCGGTACGCGACCGGGTGTCTTCGCCAGCCTCGACGAGGAGAATGTTCAGGGAACTATTGTACTCCAACATGCGGCTTGAGATGACAGAACCCGCGAGGCCACCGCCAACTATGACGTAGTCCCAAACTGTTGAAAGCATCTTGTCCTGTAGTTTCTGAGTGCCAGATGTATGATGAACCGGAATTATGTAGGAGACGAGAAGGGGGCCAAGAATGACTCTGGGGGACTGGACCAAGCGAAAGGGCCTCGAACATCACCAAAAGGCTGCAAGTACAGCGATGTAGCTTCGGGTTTATATCCCAACGCCAGGAGGAATACGCTTGCTCAGGCCCTTCGAAATATTTCGGCCATAGTTCCCCAATATTGATTCCCAGGAAATACCCACAACCGGGCGCGTGGTTTGGTTTAGGTCTGAAGACTGCATGTATCCGCTTCTATTACTGCATGCGCAATCTCGCCCATTCTCGGTGGTGTGTTGTACACGCAGAGACATGCTTGTGCACCCTGAACAATGTGTGATGCTTCTGGAGTGACTCCCTCCAAAGGGCCGGAGGACCGAAATAAGGTTACGTTGCAAAATCCTAACGATATTTTGACATGTTGGAATTGGACCGAAATCAATGGCACGACCGGTCGGGAATCATGTCCGAACGTAACCCTCGATGTCTTCAAGGCTCAAGTGCAGGTTCTCTCCAACCGCATATAATGTGGAACGTCATCCCTGCTAGCCGGCTTGGCTGTTTGGAGACAGGGATATTTATATGAGCGGGTGAAGAAGTTTGTTGGTTGACAAGACCAACGTTACTTCTCACGAAAAGCCAGCCACCTTTTTTTATTTGCCAGAGTATGAATCATATTGAAGTTCACTCTACATTTTACGTACATGTAAGAATAGGGTTTAGTATCATCTGAACGTGAGCGACGCACCTGAAGTCTACTGACAGCCCAAGTGATGCCTACCAGCATTTCTGTCCTCAAAATCGATGGAAAGCAGAAAGTCGCAAGAGATATTGGACTTTCGTTGCGACTCGCAGGAGCAAATTCAATCATGTTCAACCGCCCGTCTTTACCAGGATCGTTTGAGACCCTTGGCCTCCGGGAGCATCCAGGATGTTCCGCGCTCAAGAATTTGTCCCCAGTCCAAGGTCCAACATGGCCCAGCCCACAAGGCCCGCTTGGCAACCAGGGACCTCAAAAACTGCGCAACACCAAAGCAACAGAGTGCCTTGAGGTGACAACAGTTCTTATTGGCTCAAGAGCCCTCCAGGATTTCGTTGGTCGTACGATCTATCTAGGATGAAAAGCAATACTCAGGCGAGCAATGTGACGAATATCATAGGCATTCTGCCGAGATAGCCTATGGTTTGACTTACAGGGCTGGAATATCGATTTTTTGAAGCCGCGAATGATAGGGAAATTTGCCGAAGTATCGGGTTCAATTACTAACCTATACCCCTCAAGAACCTGCTCATTTATTATGATTCATGACGCAATACAGATGAATTCTGTCTTGCAGACATGAGGTAACTAACAATCTGCAACGTTGTCGTCCTCTGATTCAGGCACTTATTCAGCTTACCTCAAGAGATATGAGCAACACCGGAATGTGCACGCTGGGCTCCGCCATCCTGTGACGAGTTTGTCTCCCTACTACATGGCGGGAGGTACAAATCCCAGGAGCAAATCAACAATCACAATAGTAGATAACTGAAACATTGAAGACTGGAGGGATCAATAGAAGGAGCTAGTGCATCATCATTGTGTCTAACGAAGGTATTCGATGTGGCATGCCCCTTGCTTTACGATGGAAGTCGGAGGATGGTTGGTTTCGCGAAAAGGTCGCGCGAACTGGCTGCGCCGCCACGCGCGCCTCCCGAGTGCAGCTGGCCGTATTACCGGGTACGTGGCTTGCTTATCGTCAAAGAACCCAGGTTTCCGGTATTTGCTTGCGAAAAGGAACAAAGTTTTCCATTCGGGTAGGAGCGTTGCATGTCACGCGTGGTTTGCAGAATGGACGACTTTTAGAACCCCCTTCTTGGTGTAAGTATATTCGTTTGTGTCGCGAGCGAGGTGAATCCAATTGAGTAGGTAACATAGATTCAGAAATCTGGCAAACCACTGTATGTGTTTTGTCAGCCTTGGTGAATAAAAATCTGTGCAATGTGCTGTGAAGAGCGCTCTGAAATGCTGCTTGCGCAGACCTCAACTTGCATAACTATGACGACCTGCCCAATATGGGATAGAGTGAGCGCAACAAGCAAATGATCCAATACTGAAGCCCTGTCACAATTTCGTCGGCTCAATGTGTTCAAGGAGGGTGAAGGCTGCCAGGCACAGGCATGACAAGAAGGATCTGAAGACTTGGCTAGAATCGCCAGGGTCAACGTCTCAATGCAGATGCGTCCCTGACTCCCTGCATGGTCCCCATTCGTCATCCGCCGAGATGGAGTCATGCAAGTTTTGACGAAGATAGCTGTGCCGCAGAACTCACAGGATAAGACGTAATCCCGATACCCACACCAGTCGTACTCTGTCAAGTCTGTCTGGGATTGAATTCGAAGTCTTGTTGAAAGTACCGACTTGATTTCCCCCGCCAACCACACAACTGTTACAAACACAACAGCTTTGAGAGCGTGACGACAATGGCTGTCGATTCGGACCTCTCTCGGATCACGACAACCGTCGTGCCACTAGCAGCAAACCCAAATGCTACACAGGTGATTTATACCAACATTGTGTTGGTGACACTCGTCACAGTATGGACGGGGCTGCGTCTGTACTCGCGAAAGATGCGCCGGGTTCCATTTGGAGTTGACGACAGCTTGTACATGGTAGCGCTGGTATGAAACGAGGACAAATCCGTGAACACTGGGGTAATAGACTGATCATGAATTCGTCAGATACTGTTCTACGCCTTTGTAGTCCTGCATTTCATGAGTACGTATGGCATTGACTACCTGTTGTCTTTCAGTCTCACCAGTAGAAATGTATCACATTTGTGTCGATGCATGACTGACCAACAAATCTCAGTGCTTTTCCTCGGTGGTGCAGGCCATCACGTCTCCGAGCTCCAGCCGTGGCATATTGAGAAGTTGATGAAGTTTGGGTATGCTAGTCAAGTGGTCTACGCTGTGTCTCTTGGGTCACTTAAGATCAGCATCTGCTGGATGCTTCAACGCATCTTCTTTGTCCGCCCGTTCAAGGTAAGCAATTGAGACCCGTGTCAGAGCGATCGCAATCCCCTCATATCGATGTAGACTCAGTTCATTAACCAGCGACTGCCTGGTCAACAGATTGCGGCTTGGGCAACCATGGGCTTATGCATTGCTTGGACTTTGATGACGATTCTCATTGGGTTACTTATCTGCAGACCCATCGCAATGCAATGGAATCCAACGATTCCAGGGGGAGTTTGCGGTGATCAGATTACAGCTTTTGCTGCTGTGGGCGTGGTCGATGTTATCGTCGATCTGATCATCTTCATTCTGCCTATCCCTATGGTGCTTAAGCTCCAAGTTTCCAGTGCGCACCGAATCGCACTCATAGGCATCTTCGGGGCCGGTATCCTGTAAGTGAAGCCCAAAGCTGCTTGGCCATAGTCAGTTCTATTCAAGGTCGAACCAATCATATTTGAAAAAATTCTAATAGATGAGCTTGCTCACAGGACAATCATTTTCGGAGCCCTGCGGCTTGCTTCGGTATTCAGCGTCGACTTCCTTGACTTCTCCTTTACATCGCCGAACGCTATGGTGTGGAGCTCAGCTGAAATGGGCGTCGCACTCATGGTATCGTCGTCACCGATCCTCCGGCCCGTCTTTGACCGCATCTTTGGCCGATTCATCAGTACCCTTCGATCGAGTGCAGACCGAACCAATCCCCATGCGAAATACTACAATGGTGGCAAGTCTGGAGCGACGGGACCTCGTACGTTCATCTCAGCCTCAAAGCCTCACTCCCGAGGGGCTGGTGGGTTCATGGTCATGACCGACTCGGAAGAGAACCTTGAGATGGATGATATGCATAAAGAGACGGACAGTAAGGTCATCGGGGGAAGGAAAGCGAGCCATAGGCGTTCCGAGTTTGGCGAAATGCAGGGCGGGCGTGCTATGAGAGATGATGAGTCGACGGATAAAACTTTTGTTCGCACAGAAATCGTCCAGAAGACGGATTGAAAAGTCATTACAACATTGAAGATTGTGTGCAGCAAAAATAGATTTGGCTACTCTGTAACCATTGAGTACCAGTGGGTACATCAATAAGAATACCGGCATTGTAGGCTTAATGAATTGACCTGCGTCTTCTGCGCTTCGTCTGAGTAGCCTCGAACTCCTCCTTGACCAATTCAAGCATGCCATCAACAGTCAAGATATCAATGGCAACGCCAGCCATGCTCTTCGCGACCATAATGGTCTTATCGAATGCAGCCCGACTGCCGGCAGCTACCTCAAAGGCAGCAGTATGAGGGCCGCCAGCTGGGGCACTGCCATTCTCGTTCGTGATTCCAAAGAAAGGGCTAATCGTGGGGAAGTCCTTGCTGACGTTTCCTTGATCGGTGCTACCACTCGGTTCGCGCAGCTTATCGACCTCGGCGTTGGGAACCTCACCACCAAGCTCGGTGAAGTACTTTGACCAGGAACTAGCTAGAATGTCATTGGACACCATGTTGGAGTAGCCGTAGGGGCGCTTGGTGACGTTGAGCTCAGCACCGGTGGCCAAAGCACCGGCTTCCCAGCATTTAATGATTCGCTCGGTCCATTCCTCCAGGGCCTCGTCCTCGGCGGAACGAATCTGGAAGGAAGCCTGCGCAAGTGCGGGGATGACGTTGATGCGTGTTCCGGCCGAACTGATGATGCCATGAATCTTGTCGGTCGACCGCGTCTGCTGGCGGAGGAGAGCAATAGCGTTGTTAGCCAAAACCAGGGCGTCTTGAGCGTTGATTCCCTCCCAAGGGGAAGCGGCGGCATGAGCCTCCTTTCCGTAGTATTCTACTTCAAAACGGTCGGTTGAAGTTGTGATCATGTATGGGGAATCGCCGCTGTTCGTGGGGTGAGAAATGAGTGAGATATCAATGTTGTGGTCTCTGAAAGCGCCAGCTTCAAGGAGCTTGACCTTGCCACCAAGACCTAAGTATGGGTGAGCCTTTGCGTCAAGGGCATGATGCACTGGATGTGACTTACTTTCTTCAGCAGGAGTGCCAAACAAAATCACCTTACCAGGAAGGCTTTCGGCACGCATGATCTCAGCGGTAGCGAGCGCTCCTCCGACAGAGGCTGTCGCAATGAGGTTGTGCCCGCACGCGTGCCCTAGTCCAGGTAGGGCATCTGCCAAAACCAGTCAGCGTCGAAGCGAAAGATCCGCGTTCGTGATAGACTCACCGTATTCAGCGTTGAAGGAAACCACAGGTCCCTCACCCGATCCTTCAAACACTGCGACGAATGCGGTGCTGATATTGTAGATGGATCTGGTGACATTCCACCCTTCATGGGATTCCATGAAGGAAGTGAGGAGTTCATGGGCCTTGATCTCTTCATATCCCAACTCGGGATTGTCGTGGATTTCCTTATTGATTGGCCATAACTCATCAACGATGGAATCGATGTAATCAGATACGTCCGAAAAGTAAGGGCTCGTTTCGCCGGTGCCGTTGCTCTGGCGAGGAATCACATTGAATGCCACAGCTGAGCTAATACCAAGCGCTGCCACCAGCACCGTGAGAGGTCCTTGGACACCCATAATGTTCCCAAATAAGTGAGCAGATAGAGATGAGGAAGTGGGAGAACTTGCGTTCGGAATTCATGGCTACATGAGTAATAGGTTGATGTGTTTATATGTATGTCGCTACCCAGGAAATGCTCCTCCGCTGTTGACAGACTTTTCTCCCTCTGCACATGGTCCCGTAGATGGAGACAGCTACCCCCCGCCAAAAACTTGACATCTTGGCAATTACACGAATAAAGCGCTCATCGGCTGCACGCCGAGATATGCCATTCGTTGTCTAAAGAAGACGAGGGGTCTGCGGACATTTGCCCAGCTTTGCGAAAGAGGAGTTCGGCTTGTCATCAGCAGAATGTTGACAACTTGGACCCAATGCAATCTCCACTTCCTTCTAGAGATACCGGTCTTGGCAGAAGGGATAGGCATTTTCTACCACATGTTCATCACGCCGATATGTCATCCTAGGGGCTTGGTCCGGCTCTCCGGGAGAGTTTCCATGTCCGATCGGCTTTGCAAGAACTTGGGGCCCCGCGTACGCCTTTGCCGTGGAAAAGTCGGTCCACCCTGCTCCTGTCTACCTCCGCGTTGTCACCAAACGGCATCGAGGGGAAGTGGTGGGGTCGGATCCACGCTTGGCAAGTAAGCTTAAATATAGCCGATCGTCAAAAACTTTTGCCGACGGCTATCTTCGCAGTCATTGCCAAGGAATGGTAGCGTTCTCTGCTGATTTGTTCCACTGACTATCAGTTGTGGGTGCTGACAGTGGTTACGATATCACGTCATGTAATAGACCTGTTGTCATCAAGATTCCAATACTCAACTGAGTCTGCCAGGAAACTCTCACCGTCATTTCGGCCCTTTGACCTCTTGTTGACGACACAATTTCTTCTAGTTTTAATCACTTGATGAGGGAAAATTACGATCCAATGGGCATCAGGTGCTCCCGGCACTGCGTTGATAAGTATGGATCAACTCGTGTAATTTGACGATTTGAGCAGTTATTAAGAAGAAGTTGTCGATGGTAATGCTAGCTGGCAACCTTTGAAGCTAATGCACGTATCTGAACGAGACAACCCCTTCACCACCATGCCCAGCTTTTGACCCTTTGATATGGGTATGGCTTGTGACACCCAAGCGCTCCTCTTCCTCAAAATTCTCATTCTGTTTCTTGAGGTAATACTTGATCGACAACGCTACACCTGCACACACCAAACACGCTCCAGACATGACCGCCCCACCGGCGTAGTACCGCGGCTTCTGGCTGTCAGGGAACATGTAACTTGTGTAAAAGTGCGCCACCCCAGCAGCCATAAAGTTGACAATGGCTAAAGCAGCAGCACGTTTAGCTCTAGGCCGTGGAAGAGAAGAGCTGAGCCAGCTAACGCATAGGTTGTAGGGCGCGTAGGAGCCGGAGGTCATGAGAAACATGGAGAAGTATCTTCCACCGAGAGATGGCACAAACATGGCCTAATCGATGTGAGTTTATGAGATAAGGGTTAAAGCTGGTTTTGCTATACTTACCAAGAGGTTTCCAAGCAGAGCAAAGACCATTGGGACAGCGATGTGATAGCCACGTTCGTCCTTATGTGACGCGTGGAAAGATACACACTGTGAAACGATGAATGCGAAGAAGTATGGCGGCGAGGTCAAGAGAAGCGTTGTTGTTTGGCCGTAGCCAAGAGTTCCCACAATTGAGGGGAAGAAGTTATTGAAACTTTGCGCCGTGATCAACGCCATTTGCTGCACAATGAAAAGGTAGAGTTTGGGATCGATCAAGGCCTGTTTGAGCCCCCAGAAGATCGACTCTGGGTCTTCGTCAACAATTCCTGCATTCTCCTTGCGGATTCTCCACTCCTGTTCAAGGTTTAGTAAAGGGAAGTGGGTAAAAGTGTCCATATTAGGATCATGTAGGACTTACAGCGTAGAGCTGATGCTCTCGTGATATGAAGAGATGCTTGTTTTGTAGTGGATAATCTGTGAGCAACGGCAGGAGGAGAAGGGCAATGACTACAGTCATGGCGCCTTCAATGATAAAGAGCCATTCCTATGAGTTATCAGTCGGGCTTTCATTCACGATGCAGGTTCTGGCTTTCTAAACCTACCCATGAGGGTCTGCCTGCCTTGCCTTCCATACCAGAGGTAATTCCCGCGGCGATCAGTCCTGAGAATGCCGTGGCGAGCATATTTCCTCCATATAGAATCGCGATTCTCGGAGGCAACTCCTTTCTATTGTACCAGCATGACATCAAAACAAAGACGGCGGGTAGGAAGGGGGCCTCCACTAGGCCAAGGATGAAACGAACTGCTGCCAGCTGAGCGAAGTTGGTTGTGAAGCCCTGGCACATGGATATAATTCCCCATAAAGAGGTGATTAGGCAGATGTAGTAAGAAGGCCTCACTTTTCCGATGATGAGATTTGAAGGAACCTGTGTGATGCAGTCTTGTGACTAGGTCAGCGTGAAGGTTCAAGATGGGTTTGTGAGGTCGACATGATCGCGACTTACAACCGACATAGAACATCAGAAGGCAAGTGTTGTATTCGGCATTTGTTATGTTAAGTGTCTCTGTGAGACCTGTGATCTTCGCACTTGCTATGTTGTTCCTATCGCTTGAGGGTCGTTAGCAGGGAAAGCATGAGTGAAGTACTTGGCCAGTGTTTCTAAACGTACAGAATGTTCAGGAGGAACAGAATAAACACCGATGGCATCAAGGTGAAATCAAGACGCCGTGTTAGACCTCTTTCAAGGAGCCTTAGCTCACCGGCTCCCATGTGCTCTAGCTCCTGAGGCAGAGGCAACTCTTCTGGCAGTAGAGTCTGCCGTTTCTTTGTATGCTCGGCATCTTGCCTCTGTGCTTGGATTGCTTCAGACATCGTAAAAGCTCCAAGCCCTGACGGAACAGTTGGTAGCCGTGGGTTTCTTCCAAAGTGGCAACGTTATGCTCAAAGTATTCAGCCGTACTATTTAAACAAAGCGAAAGCCGGGAACGTTGTAGGGATTGAAGCTCCGGGGAGAAAGCCGGCGCGATGCCCCTGTGACGCTGCCTCTGATCTGGGGCCCCGGATTCTTGGCTTGCGGGGGAGGGGACGGATAGCTCCAGGGTTGTCTTTCAACACCGGGATACGACGTCTGCCCCGACTTTTCCGAACATCGGGAAGAATGCCGGAGGAGTGGTTTGCTTGGATGGAATACTGATCGGCGATCATGGCAACACCAGCTAGAGTCGATTTGAATGCAAACATTGGACAAGATTGGAAAAGATAGGTGAGGAGAAATGTCTTCGGGAAGAGCTCAAGAGATAATCGTGATCTACGGAGATGACTCGAACGCCTTCTGATTTACCGGCGTCAACGGCTTGCCAACTGTAGTGCCATCACTCCCGACCACTTCAACGATGTTTTTCATCGCATTCAGCTCAAAGTTGACTCGTGTGGTGATAGCCGCTCCGCCGTTATGAC